TGGGGAGACATCTGAGCTAGCTTGTGACCACGAAGTCTGGGAGATGCAGCATACTCCTCTTTTTTACTCACTTTCTCTAGAGCTGGCTCCTGCTTGGCTCCCATACTGAGGTAACACAAGTGAACACAACCAACTGTGGACGTCTCCAGAGCTGCTCAGAGTGCATCCTGGCCCAAGACCCTGTCTGTGCCTGGAGTTTCCGGCTAGATTCGTGTGTGGCCCATGCTGGCGAGCATGGAGGGTGAGTGTGGCTGCCCTGGCCTCTTGCCTGCTGTCACAGAGCTCTGACCTCTCCATATACCTGCCTATTTCTGATCTGTTCATGCTGCCATGTGAGTTTCTTTTAGTGTCACTGTGTTTGTCAGTCCCTACTAACTCACCTGTTTGTCCATCACGCAGACTTATTCATGTTCCTGCCACTTTGCTGGACCTGCCCCGGACCATGTGACTGACTTTCATGTTGCCATACACTGCTCAGTTTCCATGTTATAAGAGCTCCTAGAAGTGTTTCCACAGCTGCCCACTCCCTCCTTCCTGCCTTGAAATACTCTTTCCTGTTGCCTTCTAGGACTCTGCATTCTCCCAGTATGCCTCCGTGTCTCACCAGCCATCTCCCTTTACCCATTCCTTTCCATCCATTTTCTGAGTTTTGATATTTCTCACAGTTCAGTCTATCTTTTTACATGGCTACACAATCTCTAGGTGATATTCTTCCATTATTTTCAACACCAACTGAGTGTTGTTGACAACTACAGATGTATCTGTAGTTGAGCTACACAATTCCTTATCCAACTGCCTACTTGGATGCTTTATAAACTGCTCAAATTTAGCAGGTCTTAGCATGCACTGTTGTTTTCTCGTTCTTTCACATGGTTCTCTGAAGGGACCTCTGTGAATCCAGTTGCTCAAGCCGGAAATTGCCCACACTGTATTGCTGTTGGTACTGACTCTAGCTCCATCTGTTTTATCCTCTGTCCACAGCAACTTCTCTTTTTCTCTACTGCTATCACTCTTGTCCTAAACATCATCAGTTCTTAATTGCATTACTGCAATAACCTACAAATTGGTCTTTTTTTGTCCATTTGGGAATCCCATCATCCATTTTCGACTCAGCAGTTAACTTAAAGTCATGTGCCACATTGAAGCATATCCCTAACATTATATTCATCTACAATATTTCATTATATATCTCTATCTGATAAGAACTCTCTTAAATTTCAAACATTCAAAAACTATATTTCCATGTATCTATCACTCAGCATCAACAACCACCAACTGACCAGTCTTGCTTGATCACTATCTTCACTCACTCCCAATTGTTTTAAAGAAAATCTTAGACATCGTATCACTTCATCCATAAATCTTTTGGTGTGTATCTCTAACAGAGAAAGGCTTTTAAAAAATGTAACCATATTATCATTATCATACTGCAAACTCACTTTCTTAATGTCATCAACTATCTAATCAATGTTTGGTTTTCAAAATTGCATATACTTAAAGATAGTTTGCTTAAGTCAGGATCAAAATAATGTCCATCAGTTGTAATTGGTTGATGTTTCTTAAGTCTTTTAATCTTTAATTGAGATTCCTTCCAAATGAGTAATTTTTAATTGATTGCTTGGAAGCTGTTTTTTCAGACTGACTTCATGAATTCCTGTTTTGAAGCCCAGTTAATTTACTGTATATTTGTGCAT